GGTTAAAATCTATAAACAATAAAAATGAATAAACAATGAAAATTACCGTTTAAGCAATAAAAATTAATAAAAATAAAAAGAATAGCTACGCTTTCGGGCTTCGCTAACGCCTTCACTGCTTTTTTGTGTTGTCCGAGGTACGAGTTAAAACACTAAAAAAAAAAAGCAGTGTTACTTTATTCTTTTGCCCTGAACAGCTAAAATTAAAATCAGGGCAATTTGACGGTTGCCCTCGAACGGCCGTGCAGGCGTCAAATTAGCGGAGCGGCTCCTGATTTTATAGTTATGCACCCCCCATTCGTCGATGATGCCGTGGATCATAAAAAAAGGCGTTGATACACTTGAGGATTGCTCTCAAGAGGAAGCAAATGTGCCACGACGGATAAATTAGGGTTACTAGTAGGCTCCTGCCATGTGGGTTGAATGAAGATCTGAGCATGGTTTGGCTGAGGGAGGAAGTGACGTTGAATGCGGCTCCCCCACGAACCCTGCTAACTCCACAGTGGGGCTTCGCAGGGCACCCTGCAAGCAAACTTGACCCCACCAACGGGAATGGAGACGCGTTGGCTGCGCGTCTTGCGAGACCAGTGGATTGAAGCTTTGGCCCTTGAACGACGACGTAGCCACAGCCGGCCCGCGATAGCCCTCGAGATTCCACCGCCCCGCCCGAAACCTCGCGCACTCACGCAGACGCAGTGCTCTCGCCGGCATGCCTCCATCGAGGAGGCGATCACGATCGGTCGTCGATGGTGATGGCGGTGCCGATGGGTCGGTGCGCAAACGCCAGCGCCGTCGGGAGACCGAGATAAAACCAGATTCGGACGATGGCGAGGATGAGTTCCATTCGTTCGCGCAGGACGGCGACGAGCGCGCCGGGTCGTCCCAGAGAGCCAGCGCGATCGTGGCCGCCGCCCAAAACGACTACCAGCCGGGCGCAATCCTACGAGTCACCGTAGACAACTTCGTTACCTACGAACACGCCGAGTTCTACCCAGGTCCCAACTTGAACATGGTCATCGGGCCAAACGGCACGGGAAAGAGCTCCCTGGTGTGCGCCATATGCCTCGGCTTGGGGTATAATACCAATGTTCTTGGGCGCGCAACCTCGTACGCCGAGTTCGTCAAGCACGGGAAAGACAGGGCCACTATCGAGGTAGAACTACAGAAGAGGCCAGATGACAGAAGGAATCCAATCATCAAGCTCCGAATTAATCGCGAAGACAACACTCGGCAATTCAGGCTCAACGACCAGCAGTGTGCCCTGAAGGACATACAGAAATTGATGTCTAAATTTCGCATCCAGATTGATAACCTCTGCCAGTTCCTACCTCAGGACAAGGTCGCCGAGTTTGCCGGTCTGAGCCCCATAGAGCTGCTCGGGAAGACACTTCAAGCCGCGGCGCCAGAGATCATGATGCGGCAGCAAGAGCAGCTCCGAGGCATGTATTCCAAACAAAAGGAATACCAGCGACAAGGACAAGACGAGACTGAGCGCCTCAGGATCATGGCCACAAAGCAGCAAGGCCTGCAGCCCGACGTCGAAAGGCTGCGGGAGAGGGGTGAAATCGAAAAGTCCATCAAGACCTGGGAGCGCGCCCTGATCTTGTGCTCCTACCAGGAGGCACGCCATAGACACACAGAGGCCAAGAACAAGAAAAAAGAGGCCGAGGGCAAGCTCAAACGCTTCCAGCAGGGTGCCGGCCCGGCAATGCAGGCCGTGAACGCCAAGGAGGAATACGCAAGAGCGGTCCAGGCCTGTATCCCGCCGCTCAAGCGGAAGGTGGCAGATGGCCAGAGAACGGCGAGGCAGTTGACGGACAAGATCTCCAATCTGGACGAACAGCTGAAAGATGTCAACAATCAGCGTTCAGCCTTGCGGAACGGCATCCAGAGAAAGAAGGCCGACGTTGGCGTCCACAAGGCCAAGATTGGCGAGCTGCAGCGGGAGATGAACAAGAAGGTGCCCACTTTTGACGCGGCTGACTGGAACACTCGGATTCGGGAAAAAGAACACCAATGGAGAGAGCGTGACGGCGAATCCCGCAGGCTCGAGGTGGAGGCGGGAGAGGTGTGGGCGGCCGGCAGGGAGAAGTCTCGGATGAAGACTGTGGTGCAGGGGCAGATACAGGCCCTCGATACCAGAGAAGGACAGGAGCTCAACCGCCTCGAGCAGCAGTTCCCCGACGTGGCCGCCGGCTACAAGTGGCTGACAGAGCACAAGAATGAGTTCCAAAAGGAGGTCTTTGCCCCGCCAGCGCTCAGTTGCGCAATCAAGGACCAGGCCTACTCTGACCTGGTGCAGAGTCTGCTGCAAAACGACGACTATCTGTGTTTTGTCACGCAGTGCAAGGAGGACCACACAAAGCTGAGTGACCAGTTCTACCGAACGATGGGTCTCTCGGTGAGCATTCGGACATGCTCGTCTCCACTGGATAGCTTCCGATCTCCCATGTCCTCCAACGACATCAGACGCCTGGGCCTCGATGGATTCGCAATCGACTATGTGGACGGCCCCGAGCCGGTGCTCGCCATGCTTTGTGCAGACAAAGGGCTGCACAAGTTCGGTGTCGGGAGGAGAGACATCACAGAGCAGCAATATGACCAGCTGATTCAGACCGAGAGCATCGGCAGCTTCGCCGCGGGCGGTGTCTCGTACAGAACCACGCGACGAGCCGAGTACGGTCCGCAGGCGGTCTCAACCACGACCAGCCAAATCAGGCAGGGCATGTTCTGGACTAATCAGCCTGTTGACTCGGTCGAGCAGCAACGACTGAAAGCCGAGTACAGCGAGATCATAACAGAGCTCAAGGCATTGGGGGAGCAAAAGAGTAGGCTTGACTCGCAGAAAACTGCAGCCGAAGAGAGCAAGAGGATGCTCGACGACGAGATGGTAAGATTTTTTTTTTTCCCCTCGCCCGGTCTCCTTGTCTTGGTGCGAAACTAACAAGAATGGATGCTAGAAAACACTGAGAGATGCAAAGAGCGCGCAGCAATCAGAGTTCAACAAGTGGAAGGCAATACCCAAGCAGATCGAGGATGAACAGGCCAAGGAGGCTCAAAAGAGGCGAGAGCTGGCAGATGTGCTGGGCAAAATAGATGGACTCAGCGATCAGCTCGACGAAGTGGCAGTCAAGCTGGCCGAGGCCGTGTTGGAGCTCCGGAACCACGTGACCCAGATGGAGGAGGCGTACAACGAGGTCCTCCAGGCACAGCTTCGGGCGCTCGAGGCCGAGTCGGACGCGGCGGCGCTCCGGGACAAGAACCGCGAGGTGCACCAGCTGCTGGAGGAGGGCAAGCGAGTGATAGCGGAGCTCTCGGCGCAGCAGCAGCAGGTCAAGGAGGAGGCGCAGGGGCTACAGCGCGAGGTGGCAGACGCGCTCCAGGGCCAGGGCGACGAGGAGCGGGCGCAGCTCGAGGAGCTGTACCACGGCAAGACGGCCGAGGATGTGAGCAACGAGCTCGAGGCGCAGCGGTCGCGGCTCGAGTACGTGCACGCGGCCAACCCCGAGGTGCTGCACGAGTATGACCGGCGGGCGAAGGAGATGGGGAAGTTACAGGAGCGCATGGCGCAGCGCGAGGGGCAGACGGTCCAGCTGGCGGGCGAGATCGGGCGGGTGCGCGGCGAGTGGGAGCCGCGGCTGGACGAGCTCATCGGGCGCATCAACGAGGCCTTCAGCTACAACTTTGAGCAGATCAGCTGCGCGGGCGAGGTGAGCGTGCATAAGGACGAGGACGACTTTGACCGCTGGGCCATCGAGATCCGGGTCAAGTTCCGGCCGGGCGAGGCGCTCCAGATCCTGGACCAGCACCGGCAGTCGGGCGGCGAGCGGTCCGTGAGCACAATCTTCTACCTCATGTCGCTCCAGTCCATGGCGCAGGCGCCCTTCCGCGTCGTCGACGAGATCAACCAGGGCATGGACCCGCGCAACGAGCGCATGGTGCACGAGCGCATGGTGGACATTGCCTGCGACGAGCACTCGTCGCAGTACTTCCTCATCACGCCAAAGCTGCTCACGGGCCTGCGCTACCACCCGCGCATGAAGGTGCTCTGCATCGCCTCGGGGCCCCACGTGCCCGCCGGCAACAGGAAGGTGGACTTTGGGAGCTTTGTCAAGATCAAGCGGCGGCTGTTGGCTGCCGCGTCGTAGGGGATTTTTGTTGTTCTTTTTTTGGGGTCACATCTACAGGCTTGTCTGGTGTGTTTTTGTACGTGCTATTATAATGCTAGTAGCTTCTGGAACGGGCAGGTCTGGGCTAGTTAGTGTTGGAGACGACGGGTTTGGGAATAGGGATTTGTCCATGATATCCATCTTCAGTTTACGCCATTTCTGTTTTTTTTTTTTTTCGTGTGTGTTTTCTTTTTACGATGCGGCGTTATCTAACTATAGGTTGCTGTTCTTCTTTTGTCGTCAGTCCTTCCTACCTAGCGAGATACAGTGCTCCGGGCCCGCGAGCTCAACACCAAGACAACTTCCGAGGCATCCCATCCATCCTTCGGATCCTAGATGCTCACCGCCTGGCCTCGCATCTGGACAACAAGACGGACTCTCGTGACAACGTTGATAGTAGCCACAAGCCCTCACATTACGTGGCCTCCCAAGTCCGAGCTGATGGGTCGTGCTAGATAATACAAGTAGTAAGACCGCGGGGACACGATGCTCCGCCACGTCTGCCAGTTGGCGAGGGAGTGCGCAGAGAGCAGCGCTAGCGATCTGACACGTCTTCTCCGGCCTTCCCGGAACAGAAGCGAGCAGGACAAAAAAAAAAAGAGTCATCGCCGTCGACCCGCACCACTCACTCACTCCCTCACTCACCAACCTAAGCTCGGGCATACGAGCAGCAGCCCGAGCCTCCCGCCAGACACGGCGAGGGGTGTGTGTGTGAAGGATCAGAGTGGTGGATGGCGGTGCCGATGGTGATGATGATGGCGGATGACGCGCCCGCGGCTTTTTTTTTTTGTTCTCTCTCTCTCCCTCTCTCGGCGCTGCTGGCCCCACGCCTTCTATCAGCCCCGTAGCAAAAAGAGGGCGGCGTGTGTGTGTGTGTGTGTGTCCGCTCCTCACTTGGCACAACGCCCGCGCGGTTTCCCTCACCGTCGTCCGAGCTGATGAGACGCAGTGGGGGACCGACCTACCGCTTGCGCGTGCGGCCTTGTTATGGGCCACCCGGGCGGCCGGGTTCACGGCGGCGCAACAACCCCCGTTTGGATCTGGATATAGCCCTGCTTTCACGTCGTTTGTTGTTTGTTGTTGGCCCGCCTACCATGCTGCCGCCCTTTTTGGTCATGTTTATATCCCCGATCCACCACCACACCTTGTGATCATGATGGGGAAAATGCTCTCATCAGCCCCGTCGTTGGTGGTGGGTCGTCGTCGGTGTGTGTGTCGGGTATCCAGATGGGGCTCGTTGCTACCAGGTAGTGCAGCCAAGGCCAGCCAAACGGCTAGCGGCTTACTGGCTGGTTGCCTTGTGTGTGGGGTGTACTATGCTACAGATGTCACGCCGTGAGCCCGTCGTGAATGGCGTGCCAGCCACCCCAACCAACCATCCAACCCCCAGCTCGGGGATGCGGCCTCGGCTCGGAGGGGATGGGAATTACGCCGAGGGTGCATGGCAACATGAAGCAAAACTGGAACCATGACGATGGGTGCAGGATTGGACATTGGGCGTTCTAGACTAGACACCCATGCAAAAAGCAGCTGGAGATAATCCTCCGGCCGTCGGGTGGTGGTGGTGAGAGGGTCTCTCCACAAGTGGCCTGGTCGTGAAATTCAAATCGCCAAACACGCACACGCATGCACACGCACACAAACACACAGACCAACACTGCACCAGAGCCGGAAACACCCCCCCGTTGTGACTCACTCGGCCAGCCACCACACACCATATGGCGCTTCTGGTTTTTTTTTTTCTGCTGCATTCACGTAAATTCCAAGAAACGGGCCCCACCGCCCTGAAGTGAACAAAAGACGGAAAGAAGAAAGTTGGTCACGGGGGAACTGGTGGCGCCGCTGATCCGGCTGCTTCCTTTGGAGAAGGCCCGGAAAACTCACCGAAAGTGGGGAGAGGTGAGGGAAGCCTGTAATGAGCCTTTTGGCGGGCTAGACTTGCGGCTTATTGCTGTTGGCGAAATACAGTAAAGTCAGCCACGTCTTCAAAAAACCATGGGCGGATCGTCAGGGGTGGGGAAGCGGTCCAATCCTGCGCTCTTGTCCTGTGTGTGGTTGCTCCATGTCGCCAGCTCGGGGGTGGCGACTTGCTCTGTTCGCTCTCGTAGGGAGGAGGATGCTTGCAGATGCTGTTGGTCACAGGAGTGGTTTTGTTAGGCGGCGGGGACGACACATGGCGAGAAGCAGGACGCCAAGAGAAACTCCATAGGACAACACAAGACAAAGAAACCACATCGACGACCCACCCGGCATCACCAAAGCGTCACCAGTCATCAAGCCAAAAGATGGTCAGTTGCGGGAACCGTTTTTGACTCTCTGGGAAAGCTCTCTCTCATCTTGCTGCTACCTAGGTATTTCCTAAGAACTGAAAACGACGGCGCCGAAGAGGGAGATAAATGATGGGGGCTTGGAGGGGGTGGGGAGATGACGAGGGGGGGAGGTTTGCTTGCCTGTCTGCCTGACTTTTTGCTGTCTCGGCAAGTAATCACAAGTGAAGACCAAAGAAACAAGTGTACTCAAAGCCGATGTGGCCTGGAAGTCATGGGTAGGGGTGGGCACCAGTCTCGTGGGAGACCCGTCCTCTTCTTTCTCCCCGTTTGATTCGGTCTTGTCAGCTTGTGTTTTGGGCTTGAAAATCTCGTCGCGCGCAAGGCAAAAAAGGCAAGAGTAATGGAAAATCCACGCGACCGAGCCACAGAGCTTGGCAGGTGTTCAGTATTATCCGGGTCCTGCTGTGTATGCCCGTTTTCTGTGTCTCGTGGGTGCTTCAGGGGATAGCTGTCGAGCCCGGGCGAGAAACGGTCCAAGGGAAAGTCAGGGGCCGTCGAGAATCGTCGCGCGCGCACGCTGGGCGGCTCGCATCGTTCCTCGCTCGTCCCCTTGTTTTCTCTTCTACATCGTCTCCTCCCCCTTGCTCCTAGCGCCCCCTTACATCCCCGTCTGTGTAAGACTGGACAAAGTTCCACCTCCCCCCACCTCCACCATTCTTCCTATGCGTGTGTTCCCTCTCCCACGACGGACTATCAATGCGGAGAATCCCCGGCTGGTGCCAATAAACGAGTGAAATGCAAAACGACCAAGGAAATTTGATTAGCAAGGCATTCGAGACACCACAGGCTGTGCGCGTGCTCGGAAAATCAGACCCCAGACACCACCCTTCTCATCCCTTTCCTACATCGTACACAGGGACATTTAAACTGACAAGACATCAACTGACTCCCGCTCTTGACTGTCTGCCGCTTGCCAAACTGTGGAGCGCCCTGATCCCCAGGTTTGTCTGATATGCTTTGTTTGCGTGTCCCAACACCGACGCCGGTCCACAGAGGAAATTCCCCAGAGGATGGCTGCATGCAAAAGTAAAGAAGAAACAGCCAAGAGGCCGTTTTTGCCGCCCTTTTTGGACCTCGACGACCTTTGTAGAGCTCCCGGCATCGCAGTGAGCCCCGGTAAAAAGTCTGCCGAGGCTGTGGTATCAAAAAAAACACCAGCGCCCCAAAAGCTCCGTCACCGCGAAACACCGCTGGATATGACGTTAGGGAAAAATGGAATGATATACTATCACAGTAGGATGCGTACTGGCTCAGTAGCATGACAACGTCAAAGCCCTCAGTTGAGGATACCCTCCCACATCCCAGGCCCGCCAATGCCGCCCACGGCAGGGTGCAGCGACGAGATAGGGAATTGTTGGGCAGCCTCTGTCGAGCAGCAGACACGCTTGCGCGAGTCGGACCGTATGACCGAGCCGCGGAGGAGCGGCTCGCTCGTCATGGGTGCAAGTCTGGGGCGGACCAACGAGCCCGTCCAGCCGTTCTGCCGGGAGAAGGTCGGCTTCGTCTCGGGTTGACTCCGCGACAGTTCCGGGCGCCCTAAAAGGCCCCTGACATTGTCTTGCAAGCTGATGTCGATGGACTGGGGCCGGCTGCGCTTCGAGCCGGTGCGCGGCACGGGGGCGGGCAGGTGCATGGGAGGGGCCGCCTGGTAGTTGTGGAGCTCCTGCAGAGCGCGAGCAGCAGCATCGTCGTCCATCTCGCCAGCCTTGCGGGCCAGCGGCGTCTCCATTGACATGGCGCACAGATCCTTGCCCACGGGGCCGCTGTAGGGCTCGGGCGACGACGACCTGTCGCAGTTCTCCTCGTAATCCTCGGGGACCGAAGCAATGGTGGGCCTCATGCTCAACCTTTCACTGCACTGCTTCGCGTACCTGCATCGCGCCTGTACATCCAGTTTGGTAGACGGCGCGCTGGCAAGTGACGAAGCAGACGAAATGGAAGAGGAGCGTGATGTCCGGGACGAGTCCGAGATCATGGATTCGGGCGAGGAGGCGGTGGAGATGGTGTTGGCGAGCGACGACCGACGAGCAGTGAAGTAGCTCTGAGGGGATGAGGTCATGGGAGCAGCCCAGGGAGCGTAGGTTGTCGACCCGGCGCACGAGGCCTGTGCCATGGCAAGGCTCATCGACGGCGCGCCACGGAGCAGGTGCGATGCAGCATTCGCGGCAGGAGTGCTGTATGCGCTGGACTGGGGCGTGAGGCGTGGGGTAGGGAGAAGACCAAGGGCGGGAGCGAGACGGCCGGGAGTATATACAGTGGCCGGTGCGGGCTCCATAACCATGGGCGTGTACGACTTGGGAGTCGGGAGCAGAAACTCGGGTGAATCGCCGCCAAAGCCGCACGGTCTGTCCGAGGGGGACGTCGAGTACAGGGACCGGGGCGGCGAGGAGGAGAGTTCGAGGGATGCGGTTGCCGGTTGCGACGGAGGCGCGAGGTCATCGAGGTTGTCCAGCTCGGGAGTGAGCTTCAAGACGATGTTTCTGAAGTCCTCGCACTGCTTGTCGAAGAGTCTCTGGGCGGCACCGCCGGGAGATGGCGGCTGCGACGGCGTGAACTTCATGACGCAATCGGTCCAGCGGTTGTAGACCTCGTTAGTGATGTGCAGCTTCCAGTTCACGGCGAGCAGAAACGCCATCTCGTTCTGGTTGATCTCCTGGGTCGCGAGGCCCGAGATCTTGCTCCAGGCACGAGCCGAGTAGTTGCGATCCTGCAGGTACTTGGAGGCGAGGATGAGCGCAGCAAGGAACATGCGGCGGCCGCACTGAAGCGCGCGGCTGGCATGGCAGTCCTCGGGCTGCTCCATGGTAAAGTCATGCGCCGGCACATGGGCCTTGATCAAGATCAGGTAGTACAAGGCAACCTGCAGGGTCGAGAAGCTCGTGCGGGACCTGCGCAGAGTCTCCTGGATAAAAGTGCGCAGAGGCAGGACGCTGTTGCTTGCCTCTGAGCGGCAAATCACCGAAGAGGTGGGCCAAATAGCCTCGACGATCTGGGTGGACGAATCTGTAGCAAGCAGAGTAAGTAGATGCACTTGCCGTGCTTTGGCATCGCCAATGCAGCCTGCCATAGTTGCTTACCGACGAGGTTATCAACAAAGTTGACCTTGCGGTCGGCCTGGCGGACGAGCGATGGCGGGCATCCTGAGCGTGCCGTCGAGCAGCTGGTCGAGCGGCGGGGGTTTTGGCGCAGCTCGGCAGGGATGGGGATTTCGGGGCGCAAGGTCGTGGTTTGTTGTTGTTGAGCGGCTGATCGGTAGTCGAATTTCAGGTGGGCTTCAGTGGTGGAGCTGAAGTCGAATGTTTGCACGCGGCGAAGGCTGCGGCGGTAGGAGTCGCACGAGTCCGAGTCGACAGACGTGGCGGAACTGGCATCGGACTTTTGTGAGACGGCGTCGGACCAGCCCGACGAGATCGAGGCCGAGGTCGTTTGGGAGGAAGTGCTGCAGAGACTGGACGCGTACTGCGTCGCAATGTAATAGGCGCTATACTCGGGCTCGGATCGCGGGGCGAGGGCAGCGGGCAGCACATGCTCGTCGCACCTCATCTTGGAGATAGTGGTGGTTGATGTATGGGGAGGATGGTGGTTGAAGAGGTGCGTGGTAAAAAGTACTAGATGATGGATTGGAGATAAAAACCTCCAGTCGCCGCCGCTATGTGGCAGTGTTAACCGATGGACCGTCGAGTGTTGACCGAAATCGAAGCGCTATCGAGAAGGAAGCCCGGCAAGAGACAGAGACCGCATTAATTAAAAGGAAGTCTCGGTACTGTTGTTAAGCTGACTGTCGCGGGAGCGAGGTGGGTGACGCCGAGGTAGCCTAGACAAAGGATCCCTGGGCGGCGATTTCGGTAGTGGTCACACCGGAGAACAAAGCGGAGGAGGCGGCGACTGGAGAAAACGAGGTTTGCGCAAGAGGCATCGCGTGAAACCTATGACTGAGTGGAGATGTCCCCTGAGGGGGGTGGAAAGAAAGAGGAGAAAAGGTGGGAAAAGTCAGGCGTGATAAAGATACAGGACGCGGGTCAGTGTTGAAGCATCAACACGAGCGGTTGCTATATCATCAGGGTATCGCGCTCGGCTGGAGATGTCACGATCGGGACAGTCGGCCGAGCTGCACGTCACGTCGGCGTGATGCAGGTACGTGTTTTCGGGAGGGTGGCGGCGGGCCAGGCAGTCGGCAGGGTTGTCGGGCTTGTTATGTGTCTGCTGTGGCTTGGCAGACTTCCCGGACACACATGCACCAACACAAGAGAGCGATGTTCCGAGGGTCGATGCCCTTTATCGTCAGCGCCGGTGACGGTGACTCTTCTTGTTGTCTTGGTGGTGTGTATTGCTGGCTTCAGGGGGCGGCGGCCAGGTAGACCAGCAGTGACCAGGGAGGACGGGTAGTTGGGACCTTAGTTGGGACCTTAGTTGGGGCCAGGGGGGTGGAGAGAGGCAAGGCAGTGACTCCTCCTGGGTGTCCGATGTTAGGAGCGTGAATGGCGAAGCGGAGTGGCGACACCGCGGGACCAAAGGCAACCGACTGTTGCCGCTGGACTGGCTGGCTGGGCTGGGTTGGCTGAGTGTCGCTGGGCGCCAAAAATGGGGCAAGCTGGGACAGGTGGCTCCAACTGGCGGTGGTGTGACAAGGGCCCCGGCGGAAGCCTGGACAGTGGGCCCCTTTCAAAAGAGTGTGGCGAGTGAATGACGGGGGGTGACGGGCTGAGCGGTCATCCGTGGGTGTGTGACTGACCCAACCCTGGGAAACCGCGATCCTCCAGCGGGCAGTGAGATGCTTGCCTCGGGTGCGCTTTTGCGTCTCCAGGCCGTTGTCTAGGATGATTGTGGTGTGAGGAGGAGGCTGCCAGGCGGATGATACGAACTAGGCTGCAGAAGTTATAAATGGCGATGTTGCTCTAGGCCGAAATGCGAGCTCCTTCTGTTTTCGCAGGGTGCAAGTGAATGCCGCGCGAATACAGAGGCCAACTCGGAAGGAGAGGGAGTGAGAAAACGTCGCGGCGGAAAGGAACCACGGAGACGGCAGAATGAATGGCGAATCAAAAGAATAGGTAGACCAGAATAAAGGCTGGGGGGAAAGGAGGCACCGAGCAGAAAACTGAGCGGGAATATTAGAAGAGAATAACCAGAGGGATAAACAAAAAAGGGGAAAAGAAAATGAACAGCAAAAGCCCTCTCGTTTTCTGATACACTTTTTTTATTTTTCAATGCGCTTTTTGGGGTCTTTCAAGCAGACTGCAAGAGTCGCTTTATGGGTTCAATGGGCGTAATCGAACATGGCAACGGTTCGATGAGGGGAGAAAAGGGTGGGAAGTGCGCCTGGCGATTGATCGAGGGCGCTGGGACAGTTTTGAACATCTGTAATACTGCAGTACCCGTCCGTCTGCCCACCTGGAAATGGCGGGCTGCTGCAACCTCCACTGCAGGGTGGGCTGGCAGCACAAGGCGTTTGACGGAGGCGTCGCTGCGCTTGGTTGGATGGCGTGTGTGGGCTGCACACTGGCGAATCCGGCCGGCCTGATTGGACGGGCGCGCCCAGCCTCTGGCATGGGGAGCATGGGTCGAGGGAGGAGAAGGTCGGGTGTGCGGTGGTGTGGCACTGTGGCCAGCATTTGGGACCTGATCAATTCCCACCCGATCCAATCCAACACGCCTACCCCCTGGCCCAGCACAATTTGGCACAGTTCCCGTGTCTGGCCCCGCCCCATTTGATGATACTTCCGGATCCAGCTTAGCGTTTAGAGTCACCCTGCACGCAATGTACTGTGGTATCCCTCTTTCCTTCTGGGTTCTTGTTTGCACGATTACGATGACGGCGAGGAACGGAACCGACGGGAGAAGGGGAGAAGGATCGAGAAGGTCTTCGTTCGTGTGAGGGAGTGGTGATATCTCCATGACTTCCAGCCGGTCCTGCCCAACGCAAATTTCAAGAGGGGTTCTGTCTAGACCAGACTCCAGCGGATTCCGAGCAGGGCGGTAAGACCCGAGCTCGCCGGAGAGCCCGTCTTGAGGCAGCAAAAGTACAGGTCAACTCTTTACGCCCGCAACCCGGGTGGGGATAGGGTCTCGACGCGCATGTACCGCAGGAGTCTGACGGGGAACCCGAGAAAAACGAGAAGCGCATCGCCTACCTCTGCCTATGCTCGCACTCTAGGTCTCCTCATCGCTCACATTATCGCCATAGCACCCATGGTTACCCGGCATCTGACGCTGTGGAATGGGCAAACGGCAGATCGCGTGATTGCAAAAAATGCGCGGTCCCGTTATCTTTTTGGGTGAACACATCACACAAGGAGGCACCGATCAAGTCCGTCGTTTCTTTGTCTCTCGCGTGGCGGGCGATACCAACAGGAATCTCGCACCAGCTGAGGTCAAACTCGCCACGGTGGACCACCACACCGCACACAACAAATATCGCACTATTGGAGAGAGACAATTTTCCGCCTCGTCATTCGTGGCAAGCTTTTCCGGTCCGGCTGTGTGGTTATTCGAGAATTCGCCATCAGCAAGCGAGGGAAAAAAAAAAAAAGAAAAAAAGGAGCCATGGTTGAGAGCTAAACCGCGCACCATTGATGGCCACGAAGACGGGGAGGTGGTGTGTGCTGGGCGAATGGGGGGGTGGTCCGGTGGGCCTCGCACTACCCTATCAACCAACACTCGATCCCCTCATTTTTGGTTAAGGTTTGTGACGCACTCGCTGGGTGAAAAGGCTTTGTCTTTGTGCGTGCGGTGGGGATGATGAAGACGACACCACGATCTCGATGCCAGTGGGTGGTGTGTATCTGTGTCGGTGTGTCTGTGTGTGTGCCGCTTCCTACTACGCTGGCCTTGAAGTGGAAAACCGGCACGGGTCGATCGATGGCTGCGCTACCTACCTCATCGCCTCAGTATGCGGGGACTTGCTCTGGTTTGTGCTGTGCACCCAGAGGCCTCGTCGAGGCTCAGCCGTCAGCCGGCAAAGCAGGGTCCAAGCCGGCAGGCGGTTCTCTATCAGCCAAATATAGGTATATCTTGAATCATGGATCCCTCTTCCCCGCGTGGTGTGTTAGTGGACTGACCGCGCAGGCCACACAGCCCGGCGTCATGCGTTCTCGAGATCTAGAATCGGGATTCTGTTATGCTGCCTCCTGACATCGCTGTGGCCGTCAAAAGACGAGGGGGGAAAAATCAATGGAGGAGAGAAGATCAGCCAGGCACGGACTGCGGCGGGTTGCGCCCTCCACACAGGCTCTGCTAACAGCCTACAGACTCGTTTATTCGTTGGAGCTCTCGTCCATGACCATAATGCTGAGTCTGCACATACGTATCAAGTGCATTACTTTCTATGCTGGCCACATATCTGCCTGACGTCTTAGAAACCGCTATTTTGCCTGTCTGAAGGGAGCGAGCCAACTAACCAACCGACCCCGGCGAATGCATTTCTCGGGATTGCATATTGCTGGGCGCTGCTATCCGCGGCGCCGGGTCTCGAGACACAGTCGGAGGCGATCAAGCCGGCACTTGGACGGGCCCTCCAAAAAAAACGTGTTGAGACGTTGTCGACTCCTGGCCTTGTTACGTGTCCCACAAGGACCCCACCAAAGCACGAGTGTTTTCGGGCGAGTGACACCAGTCGCCCGCCGCTGTGTTCTTTTGGGTAGGAGGTGACGCCGGGGGAGGTCATCCACCATGCAAGAACCCTCATGCGGCACTTGGCTGAAGCAATTGTTTGACGAGGCAGCGATGGCGGTCCCCGGGAATGCAAAAAGACAAGACGCAGACGTAGACAGTCAGAGACGTGTGCTTCTCTACTGGTCTCCCAGACTTGCGCCGCCTGGGGGTCCACGACGTGCGCCGTGCCCGTTGCCGTGGCGAGCGCAGCCAGCCGTTGCCTCGAAGGGGGCAGCCAGACAATCCAGATAGCACTCGCAGGCCATGCAAGTCCCGACGACGCCCTGCCTGCTCGCGCGCGTCCAAAACGAGTTAGCCCGCATATGATGCGTGACCAAGCCTGCATGTAGCGGTCTATCTGGCCCCGCCCTAGACGTGTCGGGCGGGCCGATTAGGCTCCATGAGCGCTGCGTCAGACTTTTGCCCCTCCTCCCTTCTGCTTGGTTCTTGCAACTGGTGGTGCGGTGTTGGCAACGCAACGCCCGCAGAAAAACACCGGGACAGCGCCACACACACCCCAAGAAACAGCCGGCAACCAGCAGCCAGCAGCGTCACGGCCAGCCACTGACACGAGAGATCCGGAATCGCGATCCAGGGCATGGCAGACAGCATGGGGGCCCAAGGAGCGCGAGGGAGGGGGGAAGGGAACGAAGTTTTGCTTGGAGGACAATGCCTTGCGCAAGAGGCTGCAGCCATCCACGTCGCTAGCCTTACTGCATCACATATGGCTTGGCCCATCAGGGCGGGCGTAAACAGAGGGGGAAGTAGCGGCATGACGGTGCCACGGTGCTCGTCCAAAGGCCGTCCGTCTGCCTTCGCCAGTCGCACCTCTCCTCTCCTCTCAAGCAATCCCGTTCAGGGGCGGACGCCGGAAGCGAGGGCTCTCGACAGGTCCCAAGACTTCCCGCCGCTGGTATGCAATGCGATCCTTTTTGACTGCCTGCCAACCTTGCCGCCTGCAAACTGCACGCACACGGACACACATACCACACACATACCACACTTGCACTCGCACACACACACAACACATACACGCACGCACGCGCACGCACAGCAGCGTCCTTCCTCCTCTCCCATCCACTCGGTCGAATCGAACCATCGGGAGTAAGCAGGCCGCTTGATTGGGCCAGCCGAAGCTTCCGATTCGGGAGTTGGCGTCGGCTTTGCCTCGACTCCAGCCACCCGCCAACCAAGTCCGATCCTTTACTACGCAGCCCGGATAGAATATTGGTGGCATGGCGGCTTGCCGAAGCCAGCTCTCCAACTTGAACCGTGAGTCCTGCTGCCAGCAAACTGGCAAACACAAGGCGACCAACCACCAGGGAACGATAGCTTGATGCAGCAGACGGGCACCCCGCAGGTGCGGGCAACAGCAATCCTGCTCATCCCTACCGCTCCGTTGGCTCTCGTGCACAGTAAGTCGAAGCCTTGGGAGAAGGGAGACCGGGCTGTTGGCAATCCTCCCACGTTCCTGCCCCTCCTCTCCCGTCGGGGGACATTTGGACCCCACACCACTTCCGTCCCAAGCTCGCAAGACAACGGCCAATAAGGCGGCGTCTTGCAGCATTGAAGCCTTTCTTTCAACCCAGCCCCTCTTTTCCCGACCCACCGCCACCCCCTGTCTGGTGCGCTCGATGGAAAGAAAAGACGGAACAAGAAAAATCGGCGGGCGAGAGTGTGAGTCAACGTCACTCTGCTGTCGGCATCCATAGCGGGCTGTGGCTATTGCACACTTTTTCACGGTTGTCATGGACAGATGTGCGACGGCGAGGGATCCATGAGAGACGAGGCCTCCCCGATCGTGCGGCGCGTATCGATACGGCGTAGCCAAGTCCACACGGACGTCGCCATCGCCATCTCTTTTGGGGCTTTGTGGAGCAGAGCGGGGCCTCAGACAGTCTGGGCGTGCACTGCCCACGCTCGGAATTGTTATGCCGATTTAGACGGTTTCAAGATGCCCTCCCTTTTCGCGACAGGAGAGAGCAACGCTGGCCAACGTCGTATTACTGTGGTGGCCGCAACAGATCCTGGCTGGAAAAAAAGAGAGGGAAAAAAAAAAAGCTAACCCACCATGGATGGATGTCGCTGGCTGTGCCTCTCAAAAGGGAATAGGGGGCCACGGCGTCGGCGGCGGCGAGGGCGACAATGGCCGCAAATGAGGGCCCAGGCGCTGTTCGACCCAAGCCGGCCGCTACGCCATGCGGTCCTCAGCCAAAGGGTCACCACACCCATCGCGACGGCCACCTAACCCAAGACCACCCACCACCCACCACCCCCTCGTGGTCCCCTGAGTCATCCGTGGATCCCTCGCAAGAACGATGGAATGGGGGGCAACAGTAGGTATCGGACTAATCGGATGCCGTCGTCCAACAAATGCCACCTTCTGCAAGACCCTCACAGCTCTCGTAACATGGCAACCAGTCGCTGATGCCTGGCGGGGCGGCGGCCCTGGCTAGCGCGGGGCCACGCCGGTCCTTGAGCCTGACCATCCTAGTCAGGATCGGGACCTGGCCGTGATGCCGTGTCTCAAAATCGACGGCTGGTCATGAGAGGGAATACGTGACGGACTATTCCGTGCACCGTTCTAGAAGCTATCTCCGAGCGGGTCTGCCTCCTCCAAGGTCCAGTTTCTGCTCCTTCCAAGGTGACCCCCCCTCCCGCCTGATCGGTGATCGATGTCAGATGCCGGCTGGCGACCTGTCCTCTCTCAGCACATCTTTGCCGAATCCAGAGTGGTTATATCGTGACAAGTAAAATACGGAGGGTGGGCGAGGGACACGCACGACAGCGATGATCGAAAAGGCTCAGCTTGGTCGAGCCGCGAACCATCTCTCGAGAACGCGATTGCCGTGGTGCCCATGTCAGCAATGAGCAAATCCCTTGAGGGCGCGTTGACCAATCCGGACGTCGACACCATTGAGCTGAAATGAGACAGCCTCGCCGTGTCAGTAAGGAGAGAGTTGCATACATCCCTTTGCAAACCTTCTTTTTTTTTTTTTTTTTTTTTTCTCTCCTTTGTATCTTTTACGTCGTCTTCCCCACCACCATCACGGGGCGTGAAGCCGCCGCGCCCGCCACATATGCACATACATGCATCCCACCGTAATGTAGTAAACCAAGGACACGAGGGGTTTATTGGCGGATGTAGTAAACAACCCAACCCCGCAACTATCGCCAATCCTCGGATGCCTTTTTTCTTTCGTCATTTCTGCCCCAGTTGTGTGTGTGTGTGTGTGTGTGTGGTGGCGGC